GACCATTAGTATATTAAACAACAAACATCTCTCTCATACAAATAAAAATGGAGTTGCTTAAATAACTGACAGGGACTTAATCCAGTTTCTCATTACTTCTCTGTCCCCATCACCTCTCACTCTTCCTCTTTCCATTCCACCCTTACTCTGGCTCAGTCACATCGGGAGGGCTCCTGTATCAGAACCTTTGCATCTAATAGCACTGCTATCTGGAACTGCTGCTTTAGACATAGCTACAACTTTTCCATCTCTAAACAAATCTCTTATTCTCAATGAGGTGACCCTACTGGCTCTATTTCAAACAGCAACTCTTCTGATCTTCTTCTCCCATAGTAATGTTTATCCATTTTACTTCACATTGTTTCACACATATATACTTTTTTTTCTGTCTATAGACTATCTCTCCCAAAAATAATGTAAACTTGGGCCTGGGATTTTTAATCTATTCACTGCTGGCTCCCTGGTGCCTTTAAGGAATTCAACAGCTATTTGTTGATGGAATAAATGAATCAAGTTATTACTAAACAATAAGCTAATCTGTGTATTTACTTTTTGCTGTGCCCTATTTTTTTGTTGATCTTTCGTCTACATACAGTTGCAAAATATTGTCAGAAAGTTTTCATTCGTTGTTCTTTTTGCTTATATCTGTATAAGATATCAATCTATATGATATCAACATTTTATATATTATAATTACATTTTTTTCTGACACTAATTCTTTACATTTGGACTTCTGTTATTTTTTCTATTTATTAACAAAAATATGTGTATTCCTCCTGCAATTTATCGTCATCGGGCTAGACTTTACTGCCAGAGATATTTAACATGTTGTAATTTTAGATTTCACTGCACATATACTCTACTCGATCCTTTTTTTATGAGTGATTTTTTTTTAATTGAAAAATTTAAAATATACAACTATAGGGAACATATTATGAGAATTGTATGAAAAATTTAAAATCTACAACTATAGGGAACATATGAGAATTGTGGTATATTCACTCAGTGATACTAGGAATAACAAGACTTTTTTTTCTTTCCTGAACCATTGAGATGAAGTTGTGAAAATCACGACTCTTCAGGGTGTATTTCCTAAGAACAAGAATGTTCTCTTACATAACCACATTGCAGTGATCAAAATCAGAAATTTAACATTGCTCCAGTGCTCATATGTAGTCTTCATTTCAGTCACATTTTGCCAATTGTTCCAGTAACATCTTCTATAGCAATATTATTTTTCCTAGTTCAAAACTATTGAACGCTTCACAAGCTTGCATGTCATCCTTGTGGAGGGGCCATGCTAATTTTCTCTGTATTCCAATTTTAGTATGTGCACTGCCGAAGCGAGCGCTACTAGATTCCCTATTCAGATTTTAAAATAAACTTCCCTAGTCAGTTCCTCACGTAGACTCTTAAGGTTTCTCTGTTTATATACCAAATGTTGTTATATGTGAATATAGCAGTAAGATAAATTCTTCTCCAAAAAAGCTTGTGGAGAGTAAATCTCTATACCATGCTCTTTCTCTCTGTGTTGAACGTTGCATAAATTAAGTTTTGGACACTGAAACATTAAGGGGAGAAGAAAGATTACCTGAGATGTAAGAAATGAGCCTTAGTGGATATTAGAAAATAAGTCTTATTGGAAAGCAGTTTAACATACAAATTGACTTCTCAATTGTTTTAGTCCAATTTGCCATTCTCTTTTCTCTCTACAAATTTGTAATCAAATGTTCCATGTTAAATGTGGTCTGAGTCAATTCTTGCTTGTGTAGCTGTTGGTTATTAGCAAATGCATACAGTAAAATTTTAATCAAGCCACCACTTGTTAGAGAATAATATGCATTTTAGGTGTCCCTGTGGAGCCCCGGTTTCTATCATTTTACATGTGTACAAAGAGTAGAAGCAGTCAGCAAGAATAATAGTCACTTTTTAAGTGGAAGGTAACCTGCACAAAGGTAAGAAACTTCTATTCCGTTTAGAGAACAAAAAATATCCAAAATGAAATCGCTCTCCATCTATCTGCATGAATTGAGATAGGTTATCTTCTCATTTTTACTTATCTATGATGTCAGATTCAAGTAACTATTTAAAATTAGAAGCAATGGCCTAAGATGGAAATTTCAATGATTTCTATATTAACATGCCTCTTAATAAAAGAAATAACTGCTTACATTCTTGTGGAAATGTTGAAATAAATTTACAACTCAATGAAAAATTAGCAAGACTGATCAAAGGCCAATATCAATACTAATTACATACAATGTGCATTTCTGCAGACAAAAATTACTTCCTTCACTATAACTTTTCTA